CCTGCTGATTTAGCAGCACCCTGCGGGCGAGTACTTTCCCCTTTGCAGTCTCCAACACAGAACACATCTCTGACCACAGCTCTCCTGACAAGTAAATTTAGATTTTCTTCTTCCCATGGTGTAAGCAACCTGTGTAAAATTTCGCTTTTGTGAATGGATCTTAAAACTAAGCGACTGGGTTCAGCACAGACCAGAAAAGTATCTGAGGAGTCTGCAAGTGGTGTAGTGTTTAAGGCACTGAACTCCCACGTGGCCCACCATGGCTTGAGTCCTGGAGTCAGCGTGAAACCAGTCACATGACCTTGGACTCCTGTGCTCTGGCCAGAGACCCTCGGCCACAGGCACCAGGAAGACCTGACCCCGACGCAGACGCTCCCTCTGCTTCCCACCGGCGAAGTTCCACTGTCACACACCCTTTTTCTCCTAGTTTTACACCTTAAAGGTACAACACAGGTTCGGTTTCCCGGAGTTAACAGGAAGAGCCGAGCATCACCAGTACTGCGAGAGCGGACGTAGCTGTGGGTACTCACTGGTCGTGCCGGGTGTCGGGGACGGCTCTGTCCATTCGCAGCTTGTCGCTCTCCACCTGGTTGAATTTGTTGCGGGCATAGGGGTCCTGCCCGGAGCGCACCATCGTCCCGCCCACGTAGGCCTCCTGGTTAAAGTCTGGCCACCGCACCTTCCCTGAGGAGCAGAGCAGAGAGAACAAGGTGAGGATGTGGGCCGGGAGCTCCCCACAGGCTGGGCGAGGGCTCGTTCAGACAGCGTCCGTGTCCGGGCTTCCAGACGGCTGCAGACAGCTGAGCAGCGCCGGCCCATCTACGAGTCTGAGAGCTGCCGACTGTCCAGTTCGCGTGGTGGTCGATGAAGCTGAGTGTGGGTGTCGGTGCACGAAGCATGCTAAAGCAGGTGTCTGCCAGCACCGTGCCGTCCATGATTCTGCTCATCCCACCTTCCCAGGCTATGTGATGTTAAACAGATTCTCGGGAGGGCGTGAAAAATAACCTGTAGATTAAACATGGGGTGCCGCCACGTAGCATCAGGTCACACACACACACACACACACACACACACACACGTCTGTACAAAATGATGTCCCCCCAAGAACAGGATATGGAAGCACCCCTCACTGAGCCTCCTTGGTGAACTTTCACTGTGATGGTGACCATGGCTGACACCACGGGGGTTGAAAGTGATCGGTGCGGCCCTCAGAGGTGCCCTGGCAACCATGCCCAGGACCTGGCCGTCACTTACACGTGTCTCCATGGAGACACTGGCCCACTGGCACATGGCCGGATCCCACCCACTGATAACTGCTGCTGGTCTCAGTCACCAAGCACAAAAGTCTCTAAGAACACAGCCCCGGGCAGGAGCGTTCTGGGGTCTGCGGTAGGGGCTGTGCGGCCGGCAGATGGAGCCTAGGGGGCACTGCAGGGAGGGTCAGCCTGGGTGAGCCTGAAGGTGACAACGCAAGGCCATCGACACAGCCCAGGCAGGGGCTGACACTACGGGAGAAAGGTGGGTGGGGCCGGGCTGGGTCCCAGTACTGTCCACCTCCCCTAAATGACGTTCCTGCTAACTACACAACAAGGACTGTCGGGAGGATTTAATGGCCCGCCAGCTCCCAGTTTTCTGGATATAACAGAAGAAAAAAAGCTAGCAAGGCCCTGCCCTCATGAAGCTCCTGACTTCCGAGGGGTCCTGCGGTTCGTGAGACCTAGGGCTGCTGGGGGCCGCGAGTCGCAGGGTTGCTGCCTGACACGGGTGGCCGGGAAGACTTGGATACCCACACAGAGGCGGGGGAGGCCACGTGGCTCTCAGGAAGGTCCAGGTGGCCAGGCATGCCCGCTCAGAACCAGCCGGGTGGCCAGTGTGACTAGGAAGGGCGTACATGGGGTGGGCAAGCACGGGTGATGCAGCTCTGCGGCGTGGCCCTCTGGGGCTGTTCACGTGGATGACACGGTTACCACAGCGAGTACCTGTCCCCACGAGTCTCCTGACAGTCGGAAGAACACCAGGTTCCCTTCTCCATTCCAGAGACGAGGAGACCGAGGCTCGGTGACCCGTGATTTGCTCAAGGCTGCAGTGTAAATTCTCTATCTAAAAGCTCATCTGCTTCTTTTAGCAATCGTCCTTCAAGGTCAAAACCTGCATCTCATCACAGCTGGTTGCCGTGGAGATGGTGGCCGGGTCACGGAGGGCCAGCTCTCAGGAAAGCAGTGCTGAGCCCTGATGACTCTCTGGCAGTGGGAGCTGGCCGGAGAGTCACATTTTCTTCTGTCTCAAATTAAACGGTTCCAAACATTTTCTTGAAAACATGTTTTCCAGGCCGATCCTCCACTCTCTCCCCTTCTCCATCTTTACTCACGTTTCCCGAGATGAGAGGAAAACACCCACCTGTGCAGCCACCTCCTCACACCGAGTCCCCCTCACAGAGGAATACGAAACAGGCTTTGAAGCTTTACTAGGATCTGGGCCGGCAGCGGCCGTGACAGAACTCGAAGGAGCTGCTTTCATAGTAACAGCTCGTAATGGCTTCAATGCTGCTCCCTGCTCCAGAACGCTGCACTCCGGAACAGGGAGCCATGAGGGCGCCCTCTGCAGGTCGGGGGAGGTGAGGTGGGGAAGCGGCCCTCGCCCGAGAGAGGCTCGCCGTGCGGAATTCTGCATAGGCCTCACCGGCTTAGCACCTGGAACACGGGGCAGTCAGGTCTGAGGGCTCCAGCTGCTGTGGGTCTGTGGGAGGGGACCAGTGGCTTTGGGACACAGCAGTGGCTACGCTGAAATCCTGGCACTTCAACCCCCCTCACCTGCACGGATCTATGCTCACAAACCTCCTTCCCTTCCCCGAATAAGACAAGATTACACGGGAAGGTCTTGCAAGGTCTAAGCTGTGGGGCTGACTCAGACCCAGGCCGCTGGTGTTCAACTAGGTGGTGCCTACGTGCTGGGCATGTCTGCCCTTCTGGAGTTCAGTTCTGGGAGGTGGGGTGCTGGTGTTCAACGAGGTGGTGCCTACGTGCTGGGCATGATGTCCGCCCTTCTGGAGTTCAGTTCTGGGAGGTGGGGACACACGGACAATAATCAAGGGCTTGTACCCGCGAATGCGTCATTCACACTGACCTAAGAGCTCCAATGGCAGGAAATGTAGTTCTCTGGAAACATCTAATATGGGAACTTATTCTGGACTGGGGCAATCAGGGAAGGCTTCCCTGTGGAAGGAGTATCTGAGCTGAGATCGGAATAATGAGCAGGAGTAAACTCGGAGAAACCCTTTGTGACTTCACAGAAAAAGCGTCTTCTTCCCACACCCAAAGACAGAGTGAGTCCACCTGGAGGTACCCGAGGGCCCTTCCTCTGGCACGGCAACAGCCTCAACAGGACCCTAGAGGGCCCGGGCTTGCCTGTGGCAGCCAACCTCCTCAAGGCACAAAGTCTTGTCACTGCAGACCGATTACAGAGAATTTCTTTCATGAAGGCTCAGCAGTGTGTCCAAACACTGCGAGGTCCCCAGAACTCGGACGGTGACACGTCCTGTGTTAGGACCCAGATGCCACATGAAGACACACACACAGGCCTGACACGAGGGCCTCACAGCACGGCACGCACCTGCGCAGACAGAGTTCTGTTCTTACGTGGGTATGGCTCAGGAAATGGGCCTCACCGTCTAATTAAGGTGGCACCCTGTAATTTAAAAAGCACTAGTTTAAGACTGTCACAGAACTGCGCGGGTCAGAGACGCCCCAGGAGCCAGAGGCGGGGAGACAGAGAGAAGGTTCTCGGAGCGACACAGGCACCAGGCCAGTGCCACGCAGACGGGGACGCGGCGGGCGGAGAGCTGGACACCCTGGGACTGGGAGACAGGTGGGATGACACTGGCCAGTCATAGGTGACTCGTCTGGTGACAATGACATCTTAAGAAACGACATTCACAGTTGTCTTGTTCATCAACCAGCTCTTTGACATCTTGAGAAAGCGTTTTAGAAATGAAAGCGTTTTGGTAATGTACTGAAAGGACGTGGCAACGCGGAAGCAGCTGGTGGGAAATACCTCGGATATGTAAGCTGTCCACAAGGACGGAGGACTGGCTGCACCACCAAAGGTGGCCGGAAAACAAAGTGTATTTAAAACCATGAGGAAAGAGATTTGAGTGACATGAGGAGGAAGAGGGCATTACCCCAGGAGGGGCTGTGGAAACGGCTATGAAAATCTGAGGAACATATTTCCAGAAGATTCGGTATTTCCAGCAGACCGACTTCTCTTACACGTGCTCTCTGAAGCTGGAGGAAGGACGCAATCCGGCCGGCGAGGTGGCCTCTGGTGCGATCGAGGCTGGAGGCGGTACTTCTGCACACGGGCCCAGCCGCCTCCTGCAACCTCGCGCCGAGCTGGCCCAGGGCATCCCACCCCGCCACCCAGCAGGCCCTAGGCAGCCCCAGGGTCCCTGTCCCTTCCTGTTGCCGCACACGGCCAATCTAAGCCCTCCCTGCATCTAAGGCCATGTCCACCCTCCGAGGGGCCCACAGGGCGCTCCCTTTCCTGGGCTGGAGACTTGCATGCGGCCTCACCATTCCTCATATGCTCTGGCTTTCTTCCGCAGCCTATGGGGCCCGAGGTCCTCACAGCCCAGACCCAGCCCCCGTCTGCCGCCGTCTCTCCCCCACAGCACCTGTGTGTCCTGCGTGTCCTGGGTGCAAGGTCTGCAAACGCTTGCTAACCAGTGGTCGCCCTGGGATTCAAGGAGGCGGGAGGTTGGGTTCGGCGGACTTGGGTTCAGGATTCGGGCTGGCTTGCTAACCAGTGGCCGATGGGCGAGCAGCTCAGCAGGTGCAGGGGCTGTCCCACAGCTTCGCGCCAGCCCTGGCCTTCCACTGCGCCCAGGTATGGCCACGCTGGAGCTGTTCCTGTCACAGCAACGGCCACACCTCATTCCTTCTAGTCATTTTTTTTCTTTTTTAAGAGAGATTTTTGCTATAGGGCACTTGGGCTCACCATAGAGACAGACAGATAAGACAGCAAGAAATGACCTCCTCCCCCAGTGGCATGGCCACACTGCAATCCCTTCTCTCGGGATCTTGGGCATGCGTGCACATGCCTGGCATGAGCTTTAAGCCATTGTGTCCGAGACTCAAACTGCGGTCGACAATGTAAGGAGTCCAGAGATGTAACCATTACACCATCCACTGTCCCCCTTCTGTCCCGTTTTGAAATGGTGCTAGCTGGTGAGGCTTGTCAGCCCTCTGCATCTACCTCCCACGGTGGTGAGAAAATCACTAACCTCTATCGTCAAAGCTTCAGGGACACTGAGGGCTCACAGCTGGCTGACGGTGCCCGGCCCCGCATTTGGAGAACACAAGCAGGGGCGGCGGAAACCACGCACCTGAGGACAGGCCCAAAGGCACAGGCCATCACGGGCTTGGCTCCTGGACGACCGACCCTCTAGCCTGGGTGAAATCACGAATCCCTCCTCCGAGTCGTCGTGCAGAAATAACCACTACGCTAGGGCCTCTGGAGAGACTGCCTACCTTCCACAGGCACAGTCACCCCTGCCTCGCTGTGGTCACCCCACGCTCCTGCTCGGGAAGGGCTGTCGGGCTGCCTTGGAGCACAGCGGTTAAGCCCTAGGCATGGGAGCCAGGTTCCATATGGCCAGCTGGTTCGAGCCCTGGCCCTGGTCGGCTTTG